TATGTTGGTGCGTGTGCGTGTTTGGGTGTATATATATAAAAATATTTTCGTTTAACCAACAATTCCACATTGATGATATCACGATGTGCAGCAACATGGAGGATGTAAAGGATCGGTTAAGATACACATTTCGTCTGATTCGTAAAGTCAAAAGAAAGCGGAAGGAATGCGAATCGACCAACGGAATGGACGTTCGCAAGCTGAAGAAGGTGGATATCGACATCAGACAGATGGAGTTTCTGTTCGAAGAAATAATTAGACTTTTCCGTTCGTGCGTAAAAGTGATCAACTACTGTACGGACGAATGGACCGGCACACAGTGGTTGCTCGATGCTTTCGAACGCATCGCGAATTACGAGTCGAAGTCGAAACGAAATGCAGCTTGATCGTGGACGAAGTTTTAGGTAAACGTAAAGAGGAACCGTCTTCGGGAGATGCCTGCAAGGTGTGTTTTCTCCGAGATGCCGAGGTAGTGACGACGCCTTGTTATCATTACGTTTCTTGCAAAAGATGCTCTTACCGACTGGGAAGTTGCCCGGTGTGCCGGACGACGACGGAAAGACGTCTGCCGATCGGGGATATCGAAGAGGGTACGCGTGTGTACAGATGTTGAACAAAAAATCGTTAAAATATATAATAAAGTATCGTTAAGAGAATAATAAATAATGCATGAAACAGAAAATATGCTTTGTGTGTTTTTACTTTTTATTTTCTGGATTATCAGGAAAACCGATCGATCATGACAAAACATCGGTCCATCTTCACCCAACTGACGACCTCGCACTCGGCGGCGTCCCTCCAAACTTCGTCGTCGCCGTTATCATCTCGTTTCAGCACAGAAACAGTCCACCGTCGGTCGGTGTCCAATCGGAGAGGAAACGATAGGGTCAACGCTTCCTCGAAAGACGATCCCGGAGGACCGCACCCGACGACGGACGGGACCGACGTGTCGCGTTCGTTTTCGATCTGCGATCGCGCCCATTCGTCCACATAAACGTATATCTCCTTCGTGGTTCTCGGAGGGATCGCTCCTTTCGGAATATGCAGATCGATCCCGGCGCCGACGATGGACAGACGACCGCCACGGGCGTCGAATATCCCGGCCGAAAAGGTGGACGTTTCGAAACTCTTTTCCACAACTTCTCCAAGACTGCACATAGATACCTTTCTGTCGAAAGTTCGGAGCATCGAATCCAAATCCTTTCGGCATTCGTCGTCGTCGTCATTGTCAACATAACGGTCTGAAATAAACAAACGTACA